GGACTTTCTTTTTTTTTTTTTTTTGTTGGAGAGGTTTTTTTTTGCTATAGGGCGTGTGCACTCGCCAGACAGACAAAGAGAGACCGAGAGACAGAAATCGAGAAAACACTTCCCAGAGGGGATGGCCACGCCACAATCCCTTCTCCTCCATTCTCCTCTTGGGATCTTGGGCACACACACACACACACGCCTAGCGTGAGTTTTAAGCCACCGGGTCCGGGACTCAAACTGTGGTCGAATACGTGGGAGTCCAGCGACATAGCCATTACGCTAACTGCTGGTCCCAAGTGCAGGACTTTCTGACAGCCAAATCTGTATTCTTTCCTTTGTTCTATATTTTGCTACTGACCTGTGTTAAAATGTTATATTTTTGCAAATAGTACAACCATTCAATTATTTTCTTATAGAACGTATATGGTCTTCTTTTGATTATTAAACACTTAACAAGTAAAGGTTGTATCAGTAGCTACAGATCTTGAATATATGCTTATTTTGCCCTTAAAGTTCAATATTGTGTGTATTTTATTCACTTGTCTAAATCTGTGGAATTTGTGTGGGAAAGATTAAATGTACCCATATTAAAAACTGTGTTTGCAAAGGAAGGCCATTTGAAGAAAATATTGGTATTCTTTTCTTTTATCAATTTTTCTTTTATTATTATTATATTTTTATATTACATTTAATCACATATATCTTTACAGTGCGTAACATTTCTTTTTCAGCATGATTACCATGCATTTCGGTTAAGACAGACATTACTATGTGCATCATCATCAAATGGCTTTTCATATTTTTCAGATTATTATTATTGTTATTATTTATTCTCCTTTCTTAAAACATTCAATCACTATACATCATTTTGCTTGTAAAGAATATTGGTATTCTTTTTTTTTTTTTTTTTTTTTGGATGGGCGCGTGCACTCACCAGACAGACAGAAAGAGACATAGAGACAGAAAGTGAGAAATCCCCCCCCCAGGGGGGATGGTCACACCGCAATCCCTTCTCCTCCATTCTCCTCTCAGGATCTTGGCCACGCACGCACACGTGCCTAGCGTGAGTTTTAAGCCACCGGGTCCGGGATGCAAACCGCGGTCGACTACGTGGGAGTCCAGCGACATAGCCATTATGCTAACTGCCGGTTCCCAGAATACTGGTATTCTTAATGGCTCCTTTTTTTCTGTGTTTAAACAGCTGTTATTGTATAATGTTCCTCTAAAATTTGGCAAAAATTAAGCAATATTTGCAAACAGAATTATTTCATATAAGCTTTTCAAAAGAGCATCTATTGTAGAAGGTGAAAGAAATGTTCTAATATTTAGTGGTAGCCCTTTTCTTATTTTAAGGCTAATTTTTAGCTCTTCTCTTTTAATTGCCAAAAGGCACATGTACTCACCAAAGAGAGAGACAGAGATAAAGAGAGAGAAGGAACAAGCACCCCCTTATGGGGCATGGCTATGCCACAATCCCTTCTCTTCCATTACTCGTTCTGTTGAGATTTGGGGCACACATGCACAGATGTCCAATGTGTTTTTCAAGTTGCCTCAGTGGGGTTTGAACCACAAGAGAGAGAGAGAGAGAGAGAGAGAGAGAGAGAGAAAACAATATTATCAGGCTGTGATTTTTTCCTATAACCTATACACACAGAGACTTGAGAATGGGTTTGCTAATGTTTTGGAAAGACCGTAGTAGTAGGACCTAAATAAGGGTATATCTAAAAATGAGATCTGATTAGGGCCAGCCAGATGACATGGTGGTTAAGGTGGCTGGATCCCATATGTTCAAGTCTCAAACCTGGTGACTTGGAAAACATGCTGGACGTGAGTGCATACATGCTCAAAAATCCCAAGAGGAGAATGAAAGAGAAGGGATTGTGGCATGGCCATCCCTCCTGGAGGTGGTTTCTCACTTTTGCTCTATCTCTCTCTAGCTAGTACATGTGTCCTATAGCAAAAATTAAAATAAAATCCAATCAAAGTGGATGCATATTACCTTCCATACCTAGTTGCTTTTCAGAATATTCTGATTGGGCATGGTGGTGCCTACCCTATGGCAGAATATTCTGACCAATTCTGATTTACAGAGGCATAGGATTAAAAGAAAAAAAATCAATGCACTTCTCAAGCAAATTGAGAAGAAATATCTCAGTTGATGATTTATGTGTCAGCCAAAATATCTGACACATAGCTGAGTATACTGTTAGATACAGAAATGTCATACTAGGGGAAACAAAGTGTTATTTCTTTCTGTGTGGCATATCAAAGAAAATTTGGGGACCAGCAGTTAGCATAATGGCTATGTCGCTGGACTCCCATGTAGTCGACTGTGGTTCGCGTCCCAGACCTGGTGGCTTAAAACACGCCAGGCGTGTGTATGTGTGCATGTCCAAGATCCCAAGAGGAGAATGGAGGAGAAGGGATTGTGGCATGGCCATCCCCCCTGGGGGGTGATTTCTTGCTTTCTGTCTCTCTGTCTCTCTCTCTGTCTGTCTGGCGAGCACACGCGCCCTATATAGCAAAAACCTCTTCAAAAAAAAAAAAAAAGAAAAAGAAAAAGAAAATTTAAAGATTAATACAATCCTAAAAAAAGTAGAAACAACTCATCCAGTAATCCTTTTATGTCTATGCAACATTTTTACTAATATGTGTGAAACTTGAGATGCGGCTTCTTATGTCTCATACTATCAGTCAAGATATTTTGATTGCCATGAAGAATGAATTGGAGATGTAGCATTTTATTCACAAGGTAGTAAAATAAAAGTATACATGTTGATAAGAGCACATACAATACCTCTCAGGGTGATTATCTTATAGTTCTATTTAATACAGTATATTTAGGACCCTCAGAAAATATTCAAATAAACAAAAAAGCCTTAACTATCTGCTGAGTTTAGTATTTTTTTTTTTATCAGCAGGTAATAACTACACCCTTCTCAATGGCACAAAAATTATGCACAGGAGTGACGAGGCCAACCTTTGGGTACTCATCGACGGGTTGGTTCCCTTTACTAACTACACCGTCCAAGTGAACGTTTCAAATAGCCAGGGCAGCCTGATGAGTGATGCGGTAATGGTTGCCATGCCTCCTGGGGGTAAGTCTGTAATACATGTTGGCTATCTAGTTCATACCAATGCCCTAAAGCTACGTCTCCATTAGGCCCCTTGTTTATCATTGGAATTAATATTTTTTTGAATTTAGAGGCTCAATTGTATTTCTGGGTGTCTGGGTGGTAGTTTTGTTTTGCTGACACCCCTTTATTGATATTCGTTTCTCACTGAGACTGCTTTCATCCTGCGCTGTCTGTGCATGCATGTTTATGTATTGTTCACACATCCGTGAATCTTTCTGCATGTTGAGAAGGGGAAATGCTTTCTGTTTAAGACTTTACTTAGATTCAGAATGTTCACTCCCAACCTGAGCTTTAATTTTCTACTACAAATGGTTCTCATTTCTGGTTTTCTGAAGAACTAGTTTAGAGATATACATAAACCTTTTCTATGTGTCAGAAGATCATTATGTAGAAAATAGAATAAGAAAACTACCTATATCACTGGATAAACACTCTTTAAAAAAAAGAATTATTTATTTAACTTTATTTGTTCATTCATTTATTTTTTAAATGTGACCAGAGAAAGACAGAGAGAGAAAGAGAGAGTGAGAAAGCAAGCCACCAGGTCCAGGACTCAAACATGGTCAGCCATGTGGGGGCGTCCAGTGTCTTAACAACCACGCCACCTGCTGGGCCCTTGGATAAACAATATTACATCCATGTCTGAATGATTACATGTCAGCACCACTTTTGTATGTGAAATGTGATACAGTATTGATAATTTTAATTTTAAGTATTTCTATTAAAAATTAACCCTGCTTATTCAAAAGCACTGTTATTTTGATCCACAATCAAGCACACTCTTGTTTATTGTTAATTGTTTTTTGGGTTTTTTTTGGAGAGGTTTTTGCTATAAGGCACATGCGCTTGCTAGAAAGACAGAGACAGAGAGACAGAAAGTGAGAAATCACCCCTCAGGGGGGATGGCCACACCACAGTTCCCTCTCCTTCATTCTCCTCTTGGGATCTTGGGCACGTATGCACACACGCCTGGCGTGAGTTTAAGGCATCGGGTCCAGGACTCCAACAATGGTCTACTACATGGGAGTCCAGTGACATAGCCATTACGCAAATTGCTGGCCCCCACATTCTTGTTTAAACTACTTATGGGAACTTATTACTAGAAACAAAACTCCTCTAAGTTGGTGTGCATGGTTCTTGAACAAGAAGCATACTTCAGAGTAATAAGAACGTGATTCTCAACTGAGCATTCAGGAATGTGTGTTCTTTGAAAACACCGAGGGAGGACGGTCACAAGGTACCCACTGTCTATAGCCCAGCTTCTGGGAGCCAGTGAGTTCTGGGCTCAGGGAGAATGTCTCTTTCTTGTTATCAACAATCTGCAGGGCAGGATAATCCTCTTTCTGCCAAGAAGGGTGTAAAAGCAGCAAATGCCTCATCAGGACAAAAATAAGGATGAATCTGCTGTTTGTAAGGAGCTCCTCCCCTCAAGGAAAGATTTATTACCAGTCGTAGCATAGAAACCTGTCACTTCTTTCTGCCTTTTATGATGTTGTAAAAATGGATATTTACCAAAACACTTGGCAAAAATATAAATGACAGAAGCCACATTGTTTAAGAAAAGAATATTGAATAGAAAATTTGTAGGCAAATTGACTCAGGTTAGTATCACAATTCATCAACCAAAAATTAAAAAAAAAGAATTGAATTTAGATAGGTACTTATTTAAAAAACTGAAACCAACCCACAGCACACGATGACTCTGAAAAATTAAAAACAAACAAACAAACAAAAAAACTTCTTTTTTGGGTAGGGGGGGCAGTCCTATTTTCATTCTCCACTCAAACTCACATCCTGGAAGACAAAGACAACTGTGATGACTCTGAACCTGGGCCGATAATATTCTTTATTCATGTTTAGAAATGCAAGAGTGATCCGTGCTTTAGTGATTTTTAAGTTATCCAGTAATACATTAACAGGATATATGGAATATTGAATGAGTTATACATTCATTTAATGGCATTTACACTGATTTAGATAGTTTGTAATTTATAGTAATGAGTAGTATATTCATAAAAGAGAGCTAATTTAATTCGCTGTTCATGCATTTAAGAATGTACGATCTCCTCTTTGTCATATATATATATCTAAATATATAATGATCTGGTTAAAATTGGCAAGCTTGTATTGCTAACTCAGTATACACTGTGTGAATATGAGTGTCAGAAAAAGGGTTAATTTTATGCCAACAGGAAGAAACGAATATATTTGCTAGTGGTGCAGTAGAACAGAGGCAAACTGTGAACAGAGCCTTATCTCCATCTCTACTCTGTGGAGGCTCATCTGTGCCATTATCATAACACTCTGCAGACCACACTCTCGTGCAGGACCACCATTCACTTAGTATACTCAGAAATCCAGAATTTGGGAGGTGACCCTTCACCAAAGAGAAAGCCAGTATCTTTAAAGACAGACAGTGAGTTGCTCGACTTTATTGCAGCCGTTAGGACATACTTTCTTTCATCATTAGATTGTTGTTGATTACAATTAGGAAACTTATAGCTTTGAAATGATCTTTTTTATGACCTTGTGGCAGTTTAAAGGTGATACCTCATTGATTAAATAGGTTTTAGTTCATGCTTCCTTTTACTTAATGATCTGAAAACATATTATCCTGATTTACACATAAAAATCATGCTGAAAAGCATGTGGCATTCACTAGAATATGTGTGTTTAAGTAGAATTAAATTAGTACCGAGAGTTATTAAAGAAATCTTCCATGCCTTTGTCCAGTGAACTGTGTTTCATACCGAAATGAATAATAAATGAACCGATAGGCAGCAGCAAACTAACTTATGGGCAGAGAAGCTTCTATATGCTATTTACTTTTCCATTATATTTGGATTGTTATCATTACTGCCATTTCCCTGATTTCAATATTAGATCTCTTTTATGGTGATGTAGAACGCTTCGTACCTTGCAATGCTGGATTATGCAAGATTTGTAACAATAATACCCTTAGCTGTGTTTTCTTCTCGGTATAACGTACAAACAGCATAACAGCATAATAGAAGTTTAGACGAAACAAAAATGCTGTTTTTGTCTTTACCAAATATTTGCTGTCAAGTGTGACAAAGGGAGAAACTCCTTTTACTCTTTTGATCTGGCCAAGTGCTGTTCATTTTTTAGGTTTCAACTTCTAAATTAGTCCATCAGAAAGTCATCTTTGGCCTACCAAGGCCAAGATAGAGCTCTCTGTATCCCAGAGTACAATGACATTATGTTGAAATTGCCTGTTTAATCTGACTGTCACAATCACTATTATAAGACACTATACAGCCGGGACTGTTTCTTACTCACATTTTTATCTTTAGAGCCTACACCACACCTGACACACGGTAGGTAGGTGCATAATGAATAACTGGTGAATGAATGAATAAATAAATCAGTCAAGATAACTTAATTACCAGTCTTAAATTGTAAGCTTATCATTACTCAGGCCAGGATTCATCTTTACCTGAGCAACCTTTTATTGTAGCCAGCTATGGAAAATGTGACCTCTGTACACTACTCTCCAAGGTGGGAAGGCAGGGCCATTGGAGGGGTAAGGAAGGGGACAATATCAGAGGAAGAAATATTCTGAAACTGCACCAACTCTGGGTCAGCAGGTGGCATGGTGGTTAAGGCCCTGGACTTCCACATGGCTAACGGAGATTCAAGTCCTGAATGTGGCAGGGTGTTTTCTCACTTTCCTTCTCTCTCCTCTCTCTCTCTCTCTCTCTCTCTCTCTCTCCTTCTCGTGAGCACATATGCCTACAGCAAAATAAAAAATAATAATAAATAAATTTCAGTAAATAATTATTTTTTAAAAATTTGTACCAATTTAGCACTCCTTGCTTCCTGTCCTCTAGTGGTTATTTTCCCCAGATTGAGCACAAAAAAAGCTGTCCTTAGTTTATACAGGAATTTGAAAAAGAGAGGTAAGAAAGCATGGTGCAAAGGATCTTACCATAGTATGTTCTCTCTGAGTGGCTGGTTACCAAGTATCTTGTCTGTGACTTGCTACTACTTTTTTTCAAATGAAAGTATCATATAATGCAAAATAGTGGGATGGGTTATAAAATGCTACAGTACAATAGAGAAAAGAAAGTTGGTGACAATTCAGTGTGTACTTCAAAGTGACCAGAAGAACAGATTTCAAACGTATGCCACACATGGTGGTGATAAATGCTGGAGATGGTGGATGTGTTTACTGCCCTCATTTGCTCATTATATATTTTGTACATGTTTTGAAAAACCACGCTGTGTCTCCAAAAGATATATAGCTATTTTTATTTGCTTGTTTGTTTTTGAGATTTTTGCTAGAGGGTACATGGGCTCCCAGTTTGAGTCCCAGACCTGGTGACTTGCTTTCTTGTTTTTCCTTTCTCTTTCTCTCTCTCTGGCCAAGTTAAAAAAAATAATAATAACAAATGAAATTAAATAATTTAAGAAAAAAATTACAATAAAATTATTATTTAATATATAAGCCCAAGTTATTTTTAAGATAGGAATGAAAACACACAACATGATGCTATCAATAGCAGAGTACATAAATAGACAGTGGAAAATCCCAAATAGCACACATTTTTTTTATTTTAAAAATTCATTTTAGATATTATTTGGACAACTGCCGAAATTTTTTTTTTTTTTTTTTGATCATGTAGCACATCTTCACCTATTCCCGTGCACTCAGGTTTTGGTATTTCTACAATTACTATATTTTAAGGTTGTTTGTAATGGCTTAATGTTCATAGTTAGCACGAAGATACTCTTCGAAAGGAAGCCTATATTTAATCTGAGCTCTCAAATAGCATTATAGTACAAGTTCAAGAGTTCTAGGAAAAGAATTAAAAAAATAAAAATGGAATCCAAATGTTAATCTATAAATATGAAACTTTCCTATGACCTTTACCCCTTCAAGGTCTGGAGTTACTAATGGGGTTAGGATTTCAACGCTTAATGGGGCTCAGTGCATTAGT